CCACCACCAGTGTGCAGCCCCACCTGGATGATGTGCGCCAGAACGCTCACCACACACCAGCTCTCAGTGGGGAGGAGAGCAGAGTGATGAAGCCAGTTCATAGATGGGGATTATTATGAGCCCATGATTGGTAAGGGCTAATGGGAAATCTGGCCAGGACACTGGGGTTACACCCCTACTCTTTTTGAGAAACGCCCTGGAATTGTTAATGACCACGGAGAGTCAGGACCTCGGTTTTATGTCTCATCTGAAGGACGGAGCCTGTTGAGTGTCCCCATCACTATACTGGGGCATTAGGACCCACATGGACCGCAGGGTGAGCGCCCCCCTGCTGGCCCCACTAACACCTCTTCCAGCAGCAACCTTAGTTTTTCCCAGGAGGTCTCCCATCCAGGTACGGACCAGGCTCACACCTGCTGAGCTTCAATGGAATGCGCATTGTGAGTTGCAGAGTGACATGGCTGCTTATCAGACTTCAGTAGAATTGCTTTCCTGGGAATCAGTAGCCCTGTGATCGGTACTGTATGACTGACACTCGCATGCTGACCGTGCTCTAATGTTACCACTTCGTTAGCATTGTGCCATGTCCCAGCACTTAATTAACGTGGCGTTTAGTGTTTTTTGTGGTTTTATTCTTCTTTTATGAGCACCCTTGGCAACTTAATTGGATGTGATTTCCAGTCACTGTGGTTAAGACACTCTCGTAAGAACAGATGTAAAGAAGCAAGTGGAGGCTCAGGGTTTTTTTTTTTCCCCTCCCTCGCTGTGGCCGTTGCTGCAGGATTCCAGTGATCCTCGTGGGGAACAAGTCGGACTTGCGGTCTGGGAGCTCCATGGAGTCCATCCTGCCCATCATGAACCAGTTCTCCGAGATCGAGACCTGCGTGGAGGTGAGGCACGCAGCCAAGCAGCAGGCTGAGCAGAGCCCTCTGCCACAGGGTGGGCTTGGGGCAGCTGTCCCCTCACAGCGGGGACAACCCTTGTGCTTTAACCCGGTCAGAGACCGCAATAGACTGGATGCTGAAATAAATGTAAAAGCCGAGTCATGTTTTTTTGAGAAAGTGGCACCCAAAGGGCACAGATGCATAGGAAAAAAAAAAATTCAAAACAGTGACTGTGTGGCTCAGGCCACTGATCGCTCCCTCTCAGCAAGGGTTCCCATGTTCTTAGCAATCAAATTGTTTTATTTTTAAAAATAGAACAATCTGTTTAAATTTCTTTTTAAATTGTAGCACACTGACGGGTTGCATCACAGTGTGGTGTGGCAACTGCAGTATTGCTGACCACAAAGCCCTACAGCGGGTGGTGAAAACTGCCCAGTCCATCACTGGGGTTGCCCTCCCATCTATACAGGACATTTATGACAGACGGTGCTTGAGGAAAGCTCTAAGCATCATCAAAGACCCCACACACCCCAGCTACAGACTGTATGACCCTCTTCCATCTGGAAAACGGTACCGGAGCATCCGGGCCCGGACTACCAGACTCAGAGACAGTTTTTACCCCCGTACTATCAAACTATTCAACTCCCAGCCTCTCTCACCTACGATCTGAACCTCTCAGTGCCTTCTCTCTTACCAAAAACTCAAACACACATTGAAATCTACCTCTACCTCACATGTCAAGAAGCTCACTCCCCATCATTTTCTATCCTTTATTTCATTCTGTTGATGTATGATTTTGCACATCTGATGTTGTTTTGCACATCACCTGTTACCTGTTGTTGTTGTTTTTGCACACTGCCTGTTGTCTCTGTCTTTCTTTTCTTATGCAATTGTATTGTTGTTGAGTTTTTTTTTGTACTTCTTACCCTCTGAGAGCTAGCTAAATAGCATGTTATTGTACCGTATATCTGTATATGAGTATAATGACAATAAACTTGAACTTTGAGCGTAAGGTGCAATCCTGGCACAGCATATAAACGTAAATGGAAGTGATTGAACTGTAACCTCTGGGTCTTGCAGGTAAATTGTTTCTGCTGTTTTTTTCCCCACGCAGTGCTCAGCCAAGAACCTCAAGAACATCTCGGAGCTCTTTTACTACGCCCAGAAAGCCGTGCTGCACCCCACTGCCCCCCTCTACGACCCTGAAGAGAAGCAGGTGGGCACATTGCCGTTGTTCAGACCAGTTCATTGATTAGTTGTGGGGTTTTTTTCTGGAAGAAAGCTGGAATGCTACTGAGGCGATTGACACATAATGACAAGCTGATTGACCTGGTGGGAGAGAAAAGCCACTTTTCAAACACTGCCATGCATGTAATGTTTTTCATTAGCCCTAACACATTTCAGGCTGGTTTTAATTATAGTACAGATTTTCCTTTTGATTGTACAATTGGCATAACTTACAGAATGTCAATGCATCAACCTTCTGCTGTTGGCAAACCACAAGCAAGTAATAATTTCAAATAGTGCTATGGCTTAGCTGTTAAGACTTAAATGCTTTCTGCACCTTCTTCAGTGCTCAGTTGTTTACCAGAGTTGGAGGTTTGCAGGTGAATTTGAAGCTTCACTAGTGATGCTTGTGCTTGTCTTGGTGATGTCCCTGTCCTGGCAAAGTGATGGCTCAGTTAAGAAGCATCAGAATCCAAACAGGACTCTCTTTCGAACAGTAAAGAGCAACTAATGCAGAGTTTTGGAAACGGTGACAGCATTCTTTGTTTTTAGCTGAGGCCCATGTGTGTTCGTGCCCTGAGCCGAATCTTCGCCATCTCCGACCAGGACGATGATGGAGTCCTCAGTGATGGCGAGCTCAACTCCTTTCAGGTATCAGCAGGCTGCCGCATAGCAATAGATCAGACTGGGAAAGGGATAGATAAGATAAGATCAGTTTATTGGCCATATACAATTTCTTGCATTAGAAATTTGTCTTTTCACATACCCCAGGTTGTTCTCCATGAGACACACAGACAGGGAGAGAAGCTTGGGGTCAGAGCGCAGGGTCAGCCATTTATACAGCGCCCCTGGAGCAGTTGGGATTAAGGGCCTTGCTCAGGGGCCCAACAGAGTAGGATTAATTTCGGCTGCAGGATTTGAACCGGCAACCTTCCAGCCACAGGCGCAGATCCTTAGCCACAGTGCCACCACTCCGCCCCAGGGGTGGCGAAAGGGGGTGTTTTTTTGTTAGATGCAAGGCTGAAAATGGTGCCAGTCTGTGTCTTTAGGGTTAAGGGTGGACTGCGATGAGGGCTGTGTGTACAAGTGGAGTTTTGCCCTTCTGAGTAAGGAGATATCCATGCCTCGAAGGAAACTGATCTGATTGGCTTGGCCTCGGAGGTTGATGGCCTAGAGCAAGCAGCCCCTGATCCAGTCTTCCCTGTCCCCCAGAAATCCTGCTTCGGGAATCCCCTGGCCCCGCAGGCCCTGGAGGACGTGAAAACTGTGGTGTGGAAGAACACCAGCGACGGGGTCCGGGACAACGGCCTCACGCTGAACGGTGAGGGAGATCCGCGGGGCAGGCGCGCTCCGAGAGGGGGGAAAACCCAGTTCCGCCGAGAATAAGGAGGTGCAGGTCGAGAAGCGATTCCCAAAGAGCAAATGTCAGGCAGCTCAGGGTTTAGCTGGTGTTGGATGTTTTTGCAGAGATGTTGAAGTCTTGCGGTATGGCTAAGCTTTCCATTGGTCTTTTGATTTGGAGACACTTTGGAGATGTACATTTTTCTTGGGTTATCCAGTGTTTAAGCGTGTACTTAATAGAAACTCATTTGTATGCATGTGTAATGCATGACCGGTAAAACTCCTTGACACTTTCAGGCGGGTAAAAGCCCCTTTGGCACAGATTGCAGGCCAGGTGGCTGAGGTTGCCAGATATCCGGAGCTACTGGAGTCAGCCAGGGCTTGCGCTGGTGGAACGGCGATTTCCTGGTTACCTGCAGGCTTGTAGCGTCGTCAGTGAGGATTGAGCCAGTCCTCCGACTGGTGCCGACTTATCATGTGCCGTAACGGCGTCCGGTTCTGCCAGTGATTTTTTTTTCCCCCCTGCTTTTCTGTGGGCCAGGGTTCCTGTTCCTTAACACGCTGTTCATCCAGAGAGGCCGGCACGAGACCACCTGGACCATCCTGAGGAAGTTTGGCTACGATGATTCCCTGGAGCTGACGGACGACTACCTGTACCCTCAGTGAGGATCTCCCCTTTTATCCGTTTTGCTTTTTTAGCCACTGCCTGGGACAAGTACGCCGGCCAGAGGGATGCCACTGTGCTCTGTGCAGTACAGTGACGCTGGCATGTCTGCTGCTTAATTAAAGCCTTGCGTTGGGCACAAATAGAGCTGCCTAATAATAGATCAAGCTTGCACCGGATAAAACTAAGGAACAGGAAGAATGACTTTTTTTATGAAGTCATGAATTGACAATGATTGACCAGCTAATTCGGAATAGATCCAAAACTTGTCTGGCAGGTGGGAGGGAGGTTGTGGCTGCAGTGGTGGCTGAGCTCTGCGTCGGGCTGAGATCGGTGCAGAAACGGGGAATCGCACTGATCTCCTCCTCCTCCTCTGTCTCTCAGCCTGCGGGTTCCCTCAGGCTGCAGCACGGAGCTCAACCACCTGGGATACCAGTTCCTGCAAAGGCTGTTCGAGAAGTACGACCATGTGAGTAACATCACCTCTGACTTCACACGCAGGCAGATCTGGAATATAGTGGGCTGAGGGCTGGAGGCGACTTGAAATGCCTTGGCGTCATTAGCTTGCATTAGGGGTTGCATGATTATTAAATGGAAATGGGCGTAACATGGATATATATGTTTTATGGGTAAAGTTAACGGATATGTAGCTGCGATATTTCTCATCCTTATCGAGCCTTTCAGGACTGATCAGAAATTCCGGCGTAAATGCACCTCGTGTCGCCAGTTTTTGCCACAGACATGAAGCAGCCTACTTGTCCGTCTCTGGAAACGTCGGGTTTAATATTAGGCAGAAAAAGGAAAGACGAAAGCCCTTTGTCATTGCGTGTCCTGTCTCCGAGCACGACGCTAGCGACAGTAACATCGGTCAGGGTCCGTTCTGATGATGATAGGGGGGCGAGTCGTGGTTAGGCATGGGGTTTCACCTGGTTGTATTGCCTGTCTCAGGATAAGGACTCGGCCCTGTCTCCGCCGGAGCTGAAGAACCTGTTCAGCGTTTTTCCCTACATGCCCTGGGGCCCAGATGTCCACACCACTGTGTGCACCAACCAGGACGGGTTCATATCCCTGCATGGCTATCTGTGCCAGTGGACGTGAGTAGGCCCCCCTCTCTTCAGCCCTGATCTCGGTGTACAAACCCTTTGTCACCCTTGAGAACTATCCCTTTCCAATGACAGGCCCTGGATTCAAGCATTGATTTTTCACTAGGTTTTGGAGTTGCAACATTGTCCTTTTAATACATGTTGGTTAACGATTATTATTTAATGATTGGATACTAAAATTTGGAATTTTGGTACCATGAAGTAAATTCTTCAGTAAATTCTTCAGTCTTGTCCTTTTGTGTAACCCTTGAGAGTTGTAGTTCTAATTTATACGAATGTGAGGGGCGTTTAACCCTGCCCTCTTCGCTGCATTGTTCTGATCCGAGGCTTGTGTCAGGGCGTGAGAGTATTTGTACTTTCTTTTCTTGATTCTGGGAGCTCCATGGAGGCCATCCTGCCCATCATGGCGGTGGTTGATCCGAATCCGTGTTGTGTTTTGTCCAAAGGCTGACGGCATTCCTGGATGTCCATCGGTGCCTAGAGTACCTGGGATACTTCGGCTACCCAGTCCTCATGGAGCAGGAGTCTCAGACTGCAGCAATAACAGGTGATACCTCGCAGTCCTGCACACCCTGCGACATTGCTGCTCGCTCACTGCTCACAGTCCTCCTCTGGTCATTCTGTTCTCAAACTGCTGGTATCCCACTGATCAGCCAGTGACTCCAGTGACTTTCCTTTCCCAAGTCCACCAAGCAGCAGTGATTTTCCTCTCAGAGTTTAAACCTGCTAGCTGATTGCGTCTGTACTAGGTTTTAGCACAGTTACACCACCTTCGGGTTAGACTGCCATCATCATTTTTTTTTAATTGCTTCAGAAAATATCGCACATGCAAGAGATCTCCAATTTCCTCAAAATTGAACCGTCAAAATTTGTTTTGACAGCAGCGAAAACGCTTTTTAAAAAACTGTAACCATTTGATATGTGGAACCCTCAATTCTTTTAATGCCAAAGACAATGTCAGAAATACAACATTTTCATTTGGAGCAGGGCTGCCTCATTCTAATATGTGAGGGCCAGTGTGTTAAGCTACGGCATCTTGTTAGTGGCTCAATTCGGCCAATTAATGGTGGGCAGGATGAAGGACATCTCCAAGTGGTGTTTATTGCAGTATTCATAATTAATGCATATTTACATAATTACATAATCATAACAGTCTTGCTCACTGGATTTCAGCTATATCGTAGGCAGATCCTGACTGTGATGAATTGTTTTGTCACGTGATCTGCAAAGCCACCGGAGAGATGAGAAGCCTCTTTGATTTTTTTAATGTGTGTGCAAAAAGGCCTCTGCCTTTCCGCTTTTGCCTTCCATTTTCTGGGAAAATCCCGCAGCACTGGTGCGAACTGCGGGCGGCCTGGGGAAATTCAACTGCCGGGTGAATAAATAAGTGCTGGATACCAAATCACAATCCACTCGTGCAAAAGTGGATTTGGTAGATGAACATACATTGTCAGAGGGGATTACGAATTCAAGGGCTGTTGTGATTAAGAACAGATTTGTTTCACTTATGAAGAGGCAGGAGTGATTGAATTGCGGGCCTGTCTCGAATGCTGTAGTGTAGGAGTATGTGGCTACAGCTTTTACTGCATATCTGTTCCTAAAGTGTCGCCCCTCGTTTCCGGATGTAATTAGTGCATTCCTTCCCCGTGAATGATGAAGAGTGCCCAGGAGGAGCATGTTTTCGGCTAGCTAGTTCAAATGCTTTTAGTCCAGAAATGCAAGAATTTCCCGTGTGCTGTGGGAGACCTTTAACTCGTGCAATGTGAAGCAGCTCTCTCTTATCAGCTGTCGTTGTTTAACATCACGCGTGTTGACCAGAAACCGCCCATTCTACTGCTGAGATAATGGGTCCTGTTGGTGGGAGTGTGTCCTTTTTCTCATAACAACAAAACTCCAAAGGGAAGACTTGTAGATACATGATCCTGGCCAGGAAGGCCATCTCTGTATTTGGTGCTACAGGTATTGAAGTAAAGTTATTAAGCGTGAATTCAGCTACCACCTGACAGGTAACTTGTCCTTCCCTTTTATTCATCATCTCTTGCATTCACGTGCATTGTCTGCGCCAAATAATTGTATTCTAGGCCAGATGTTTTGGTTTCCCAAGGAAAGATTTACAATAAAATAAAGGAAATACAACCCAGATTTATATGCACGTGCAATTGTGGCTGTACACAAGAATAAAGGAGCTTGCACAACAGTCTGAACATTTTACAGCCATTTTGAGTGCCAGAGACAACCAATAATTTGTATGGATTTCTGTTTAGGCATTATATTTTATTTTTCTTCCTAGATAAGCACATTTAAAAGAGTATACAGAGGAGTGAGATATCGTTCTCCGGGTCTACGGTGCGAATACAGACAAGGCACTGACAAGACAATGTAGACATAGCTATTTCTGACAGGGTGCAGGGTACATAATGTGCATAGTGCAATTGACTTTACGCTAATTGTGCAAAGAATACATCAGACAGTGTGCCTGACATTAGGCAAAAAAGAACTAGGTTTCCAGACTTGGAGTAGGTGCCAGGAGCTTGTTGAGGAGCCTGACAGCCTGTGGAAAAAAAATGTTACAGAGTCTGGTGGAGCTGACCCGTAGACTGCGATACCTTTTACCAGATGGTAGGAGGGCAAAGAGGTTGCACGAGGGGTAGGATGGATCGTCCGCAATACTGGAGGCTTTGTGTGTGCCTCTAGTATTGTGGTAGATGTCCTGAATGGACAGAAGGGAGACTGCAATGATGTTTCCTGCCGTATTGACAATTCGTTGCAGGAAAGTGCAGTCTGAGACCTTACAATTCCCAAACCAAACAGTGACACAGTTTGTGAAGATGCTCTCAATGGTACCTCTATAGAATGTGGATAGTATGGGGGATAATAAGCTTTATTGTCCCTGAGGGGAAATTTGTTTTACGGCACAGTCAAACACAACACAATGACAGTACACATTATCAAAAGGGAAGAGAATACAGCAGAGTTACAGGAGGAAGAAACCAGAGACAAGGTGGTTACTTTGCATTGTTTAAGTGTGTGATTGTAGTGGGGATGAAAGATTTCCTGAGTCTGCTGGTTTTACACCTGGGGGCACAGAGGCATCTCCCAGATGGGAGAAGTGTGAATTCGCAATGGAGGGGGTGAGACACGCACTCCCTGATGCTTTTGGCTTTCTTAGTCACCCTCTGTTTATAAAGGATTCTTAAGTTGATTTGATTATTCCCGATTATTTTGCCACTCATTTACCCAGCCTATTACAGTTACCGGTACTTATGTTGCCAAACCAAGAAGTGAAGCAGTATGTTAAGACGCTTTCAATGAATGATTTGTAGAAAAGTGTAAGAATAGTTTTATCCACCTTAAAGTACCTGAGTCTCTGTTTGCCTTTTTTATAGATCATGTCATAGCATTTGTCCCATTTTAGGTTATTGTCAATGACCAGTCCCAAGTACTTATAGTCATCGACAATTTCAGCATGCTGACCATCAATTATAGTGGGTGGAGGGGGTGTGGTATATTTCCCAAAATCAATAACCAGTTCCTTTGTTTTTGAAACATTTAACTTAAGGGGGGACTCGTTGCACCAGTTAGTAAAATCATTAAGGATGGGCCCATAATGGTATTCTGTGTTCTTTAATAAACTGACCAGAGCTGTGTCATCAGCAAACTTAATGAGGTATCTATCTGTTTGCTTATGCAATCATTGGTGTACAGAATGTACAGCAGAGAGGACAAGAGAAGAAGATAAGATCACTTTATTAGCCATATACAATTTCTTGCATTAGGAATTCGTCTTTTCGCATACCCCAGCTTGCTCTCCTTGAGACACACAGACAGGGAGAGAAGCTTGGGGTCAGAGCACAGGGTCAGCTATTCTACAGCGCTCCTGGAGCAGCTGGGGTTAAGGGCCTTGCTCAGGGGCCCAACGGAGTAGGATTCCTCTGCGGGCTGTGGGATACGAACCAGCAACCTTCCAGCCACAGGCGCAGATCCTTAGCCACAGAGCCACCACTCCGCCCACCGCAGACATAGCCCTGTGGTGATCCAGTTGACGTATAGCGATGAGCACTTCCCCAATCTGACCTGTTGAGACCTGTTACTTAGGAAGTCTAGCACCCACTTTATCAGGTTCTCATTCAGATTGAAGCGCTTTGAGAGTTTCTGTGCAAGCAACAATGGTTGTATTGTGTTAAAAGCAGAGGAGAAGTCAGCAAATAAAACCCTTACAAAGGCCCCTGGTTGGTCCAGATGTTGATAGACCAGATTTAACAACGTGTGTATTGCATCGTCTACTCCTCTCCTCTCCCTGTGTGCAAACTGCAAGGGGGTCGATGAGGGCTTGTGTGATCTTTGTGATGTGTTGTTCCCTATTCTCTCAAAAGTTTTCATTGGGAGGGATGTGAGGGCTACCGGCCTGTTACCTGTTCAGGCCACTAGGCTTGACAGTTTTAGGAATAGGAATATGTCCGCTAATTGCTTCACCTCCTCTCTGTGTGGTGACTCATCGTTGCTATTAATGAGACCCACCACTGTTGTGTCGTCAGCAAACTTGATGATGTGCAGTCATGAGTCATCAGCGTGAGCAGGAGTGGGCTGAGTACACAGCCCTGGGCGGTTCCAGTGTTCAGTATGGTGGTACTAGAGATTTTGTTTCCTATACCTATGACTCACCTATTATGTTAATGAAATGTTTGTGGGGCACACTGACTTAGAATTGGAAAAGGAACTCTTGACGTGTTGGCAGTAGACAGCGAAGCAGCATAAAGCTGCCCTGGGCCTGCCTGGCCTTTTCTGTGATGCATCACATGGTCCCATGACTCCGGGCCCCTCCGCTGTGCTGTGATTCGCAGTCACCCGGGAGAAGAAGCTGGACCTGGACAAGGGCCAGACCCAGAGGGACGTGCTTCTCTGCAAGGTGATCGGGCCCCGAGGAACTGGCAAGACTGCATTCCTGCAGGCCTTCCTGGGGAAGAGCTTGTCGGTAAGCTGCTTGTTTCGGCATTATTTTGAAATTTGCAGTTTCTTCGACTCATTTCATGCTAACCAATTTGGAATCGCCCGTTTCTTAAGACTTCTGCCAGCGGCTCCTGTTAGGAAGGCAATGTGCTCTTCTGATATGCCTACCTGTTGGAGCCATGCATGTGTTGACGCTTGAGCTCCTAAGTGCTCTGCAGGAGAGCTATTGCCGACTGGGAGAGCAGTGCCTCTTACTCACATTCCTGCAGGGCTGCCTGTGCCTGGCCAGTTGCACGGATACCCTTTCCTCCAAGCCCCCTGTCTGCTCTGAAGGCCCACCTTTTGGGTAACGGCGGTAACCTAGTGGCACAGCCCTGACTCGAACCTGCAACATCATGGGGCCATAGAGCTCGGCCCGCAGCCTCACAGGTGCCCCCATAAGGTCACTTCCCCTTCGCAGATCCGCTGTGCCTCAGGGGAACACGTCAGTAACAGGCCTGCACCCTCAACGAGACGTGAGCGCGCGCTCTCCTAATCTCCTGAAACAACACAGCGAGAGGTCCTGCTCCATCAGGAGGAAGGCCATGCGTTGAGGACAGTGCTTCGGGGCACGTTTCTGCTGTTTTGGGACCAACCCCATTTTTATATTGAAGTATTCAAGATGCATACATAGGTGATTATTCCTAAGAATATGTCACACCAAGCATTTTTATAGACTGAAATCACTTAATGTCCCAGGATAAGGCTTGGTGCAGGCAATACCTTGCAGTGAAATAAAGGACTATACACATAATAAAGATACACGTCTTTCAGAGTTTTTCTTAAGACCCTCTATTCTTTGGAAGTCCTATGCAAGCTGTGCTTCAGCTTATTCGGACATTTGACCTGCTTCTCATCCACTATAATAGTGATAATTGATCCACTTTTCTGTCTGATCTGGAAGGTTTCTCATTTGCTGTGCCTGGAAGTTTTGTTTCATGTAACTTTCTGCCTGAAAATTTACTTTCCCTTCTTTTTGCAGGGACATGCAAAAGAAAAGCAGCATTTTAACTCACGATAACAGCTTCCTTTAAAAGTGCACTTCAGACAGTAGACACTGAGTGGCACTGCTTTTCTAAAAGTTTGTTGTTGTTGTTTTTTTTCCCCCCAGAAGCAGAAGAGCTCCACTGGCCAGTTTTCCTACTACACCATAAACACAGTACAGGTCAACAGCCAGGAGAAGTATTTAATTGTAAGTGTCCTGTAACGAACACAGCAATGCATTAAGCGCCTTTAGAGAGCCAGAATGTGGTTTAGTTGATCTGCTCCAGTAAACTCAGTCCTGGACCAGACTCAGCCTTGCCTTGTGATAGGAAACCCAGCTTGTCCCCATGTCTTTCTGTTTTTGTGTTTCTGTGATGGATTAAAACTTTGAGAGGAGTTGAGAGCAGGGGTCTGCTTTACTGCATGGGCTGCCAAAGGAACAAGAGAAGGTTACTTCTACTCTAAGAAAAGAAAGACAGCAGATGGAAAAGAAGAAAACAAGGCTAAATTAATAATGTGTTGGCTGTGCTTCATTCCTGGGCACTCCTGAAAAAGGCTTTCAACCGAAGCATGTCTTTTGCTCTTTGTGTTCAGCACCTCTTCTTATTCCTTTCAAATCTGTTATACTCCATACTAATCTTTATCCGAAATGCGTTGCAATTGTCTGATGAACCGGGCGGCACCTGACCCCCAGAAAAGCGCGCTGGAGCATTTAGGTTTTCCTCCACTCTATTTCGTCTTTGCTTGGCGCCTGTTCCAGCTTTATTCTTCCCAGGAGCTGTCCTGCGGAAGGCGCTCGCTCACTTTCTGCTCTTTCCTGGTCTCCCAGCTGTATGAGGTGGACGTCGATACGGAGTTTCTCAAGGCCTCCGACGCCGCCTGCGATGTGGCCTGTCTCATGTATGATGTCACCGACCCCAAATCCTTTAACTACTGCGCCAGCATCTACAAGGTGAGCATCGCTTTGGAAGAGCCCTTTTAGACCTCTGCCTGGATTGGCGTTACTACTTTTCTTGTGGAACAGTTAGTGAGCAAGCCCAATGACTCCTAAACTCACAGCCTTAGTACGGCCATTTGCTATACAAAGGACTACCAGTGTACACGTGTTGTGCTGTTTTTGAACACTTCAACTCCAGATTTCAAAATGGATTCACAAACTAGGTGCCAGATTGCAAAATACAAATGAAGACTGGCCACATTATGTACTGGATACTGCAAGTGCACCTCCCCTTGACATAGCTGGAGAGAAGGTGTTCTGGCAGTAAAAGGTGTGTAGATTGCTGGGACAGATATTTCCTTTAGTTTTCTTCACACTCACTTAAAACTGCATCAGTAGAGGGAGGGATAGCAATGTGATAAATTAAAGTTGCATTGGGTAAAAAGTCTTCAGTGGTTAAAGAAAAGCAGTACCAACTGTAGTCAGAGTGCAATAGTGCAATAGTGTCGTTACTGAGCCTTTTGAGCCTGACCTGTGTCAACAGTAGAATGCGAAATTAAGGATTCCATTAGGCAGATCCATGAGTTAGCAGGCATTAAATTAGCACAGATAAAACAATCTGATTAATGAATCTGGCTCATATTTCAGAGGAGGTTTAACATTTTAAAGTTAACCTGATATATAAGCTCAGAATTCTTCATGTTGAAATTGATGTGGAAACATAGGCTAAAACAAAGGAGATGGTGTATTTTGAGTAAGTTCCTAACTGAACAGTAAGAAAGCTAAAAAAATGAAAGTCCAGTGATCTTCAGAATACACCAGGGTTCAACGACATGGCTGGAATGGTTATTCCACAGTCCAGTTCTCGGAGCAATTCCATGTAGTTTCCACTTGTGTCCTCTGGAAACCGACAGAGGCAAGGCAGTTTGATCACCTTGGCTATTTTGTTAGTCGTAGCTTAAATATCCATAAATTCCATCAAACAATTTTCAACACGGGAAGCTTCAACAGTGTGGCTAAGGAGTTGCTCCCAGATTCGCACAATTATCTGTAAATGGGAGGGTATCCTGTTTCATGCCCTGAATGTTTCTAACTTACACGCGTGTCCCTGAGTCTTTATATGGCACCACACATTCTTTCTGAAGCTTGAGAGATAGATACTCATCACCCATAGAGCACTGCGAAATGTACTATATTAGTACGTTGCACTGTGGGTATGTCATACTGCTTAAAGAGGAACTGCAACGCTATTTTTATATTTCGAGGTTAGAAGGAATTGGCATTGATGAGTGCATTTCAAACCACAATAAAAGTAAAATGTACACACTAACTTGTAAAATCTCCAATTTTCATCACAAAATAGACAAACTTGCCAGGTTTGCACAGCACCATGTTCTGGGATTCAGAACGAGGCAATAAAACTTCCAGTGATGTGAAGCAGGCTTGTGAATACATCTCTTTTAATCCAGTAGAAATATTGCTCTCGACTTTGAGACGATTTTGCCGATAAATGCAGATCACATTGGAAATTTTCTGTGGTCAAATGTCTACTGAACAATCTGTACTTATTCGCTTGTACATCCCATTACATTAGTCATTACAGGGACTAGTGAGCAGGAAGGGCCGCTTCACGTCACAATGCTCGTGAGCTTTCACTCTCGCCCGTGGCGAGACCAATGATGCCCATGCGGTGCTTTCACAAACTTCACGATTTTGTGCCGAGTTCGCAATTTGTAAAATGTTGCGATACCATCGATGAATTAATTTTGTTACCGAGATTAAATAACCTTTCTGAGAAATTGGGGACTGCAGCTCCCCTTTAAAGAAAATACTAGTGTTTCTGTAATTCTTCATACTGGTGTGGTTGAGGAAATTGCACTGTGCCGTCCTGAGCAGAGACCTTTGGTTTTACAATCTCTGCAGGAAGGAACGTCCATTCCATGTGATGGCCGAGAGGCTTAGGCTTAATCAGACAGCTTATTTAAAAATGTGTCCCAGACGAGGCATTATTAGCACCAGGGATCGCCTGGCCGCTCCGGCTGTCTAAACCCGAGCCCGATTTCCTTTCCCAGCAACACTACATGGACAGCCGGATCCCCTGCGTCGTCGTGGCGTCCAAGTCGGACCTACCGGAGCAGAAGCAGCAGCACGGGATTTCCCCCGCGGAGTTCTGCTACAAGCACCGGCTGCCGCCCCCCATGCCTTTCTCCTGCACTGGCCTGGACGCCCCCAGCACCGCCATCTACTCCAAGCTGGCCTGGGCCGCCATGTTCCCGTAGGTGTCCTTTCTGGGACTGGCCGCCTTCACGCCGGCCCACTGACCACAGCCCGCTCAGCTATAGTCCCGCAGGTTTTGCTGGTGTGCTCCCAATCACTACATGTCGGTAGCACCTGGTCAGTTCGGCCAATCAGGCCCATTAGCGGGTTTCCTGGGTAAAGCCAGCCTGGGATCTAAGGTCCAGACTTCACCGTCTGATTCTTGGTTTGTATCATTAGCTGACTGTGACTGGGACCCCCCGATCAGCAGTGCAAGATTGTCTGAGCTTTGCAAAGGTTATCTGGTTGGTACTTGCCCAGGTCTCTCCAGGCTGTCAGCCGCAATGTCTGGGAAGAGCTGCCCAGGGGTGGCGTCAGTGAGAGGTGTGCCATGTCGCCACCTGGCACTTCCTCTCCGATAAGGATGAGGGGCTCCAACAGCAGTGCATGCAGGACCTCTTTCTCCCCACTGCGCTACGGGGGTTTAGCAGTGATGCTGAATAACAGACTGTAAATGTACAGTAACCTTTGCAAACAGTTTCACTTTTTTTGCAAAACCATCCTGAAAGTGGCCTTTGACATTGATTTTCGTGAGGAGTGGAAGGGGTGTGTCGCATTACAGTTGTGTATCCCATAGAACACAGACTGGAGCACACCTGATTCTATATCCAATGTAGGTGTGGTCTCGTATCCAGTCCTCACCATTTGTTGAATTCATGTACTGTAGGTCATAAGTGCTACATGGTAATTGTATACAGTTTTAAGGAGTAACCCTATGGGTGAATTCCAAATAGACATTTTGTAGAATTCCTGACATTATCTCCTGAGGGTTTGCCTGTAATTCAAGAATACATTGATCCCCCTTCTGCACGGGCAGAAGGACAATTGACATCGCCTTTCCTGAAAAGCATCTACTCATGTCTGGCACACCCTGTGTTTTCCACGTCTAGTTTGGGGATGTTGGGTGTGTTCTGGGGAGGGGATTGTGTATGCGCCTGAGTGCGAGAGAATGGAAGAAGCGTCTTTGATTTAGACTGGGGGGAACGGTTCCCCGCGACGCCATTGAGTGGAACCGGGAATCGCGTTTTTCGGGTGACAGTCTTGTAACGCGACGATGCTTTACTTTTCCAGACACCTCAATGGCTCTGACCTCAGCGCCACTTCCTTCTGGCTGCGGGTGACTCTCGGAGCGGCCGTGATCTCCGTGCTGGGCTTCACCGTCTACAGAGCCTTCGTCCGGCAAAAATAGAGGGCGTGCTCCGGTGAACCTGCAGGACGGAGTCTGACAAGGGGGTGGGAGGAGGCCACAGGAAATCATCAGACCTACAGCTTTGAGAAAGGACGATAAGATTGACAGCCCGTTTTAACAACACGATTCTTTCCTGCAGCTTCAGAGCCAGTGATGATAGAGAGAACTTTTCACGTGATCGTTGCCACTACCTGCAGTGGGCACAAACTGCACCCTCGAAGTGTTTGTGTCCGCGTGAGACGGGAAGACGGAAGAGCACAGCCAAACCCCTCCAGCTTTTCCTGTTTTCCTGGTACTGTGCCTATCGGGTGACACGGGGAATTTAAGAACAAGAACTTCAAAACGACATTTGATGGATATCTGGTTAGATCCACAAAGACGGGGCGAGACGAGACCCGTTTTCATAACTGTTCATATGCTTGTTTTGAATTTTAAGCAATCGGGAGAATTGCCTTCTGGAAAGTGACACGCTTGTTCCAGGGTCATCTGCCATTTACATTGTGTTCCAGGCTGGAAAAGTGGCCATTTTTCATTAATCTGAAAGCAGGGCTTAAAAGTGAGCATTGCAAGGGTAAAGAAAACATTCCCCCCCTTTGGAAGCTAGCGATCAGCTTGACCACCTGTTCGTACATCATTCACGAGCTCTAAAAGACAACATCCACTGTCGCGGAAGATTATAACCATGGAGACGCGACCATCTGATACTACAGCTTGACACGTGTCTGCAGTTCACCCGTGTGAAAGTTCATAGCTTTTCCCTGATGCTGCGCTATTGTTGCTGTGAGTTTACCCATCTAAATGAGATCCATATCAGTGAGCTCTAAATGAGGTCTTCTGGAGAGCCATGTTTCTCCTCGGACCATTTAAGCTCCACCGGTCTCAGCCAGATGGAAGAGAAATGCCGGCTTTGTTTTGGAACAGTGTCTTGGCTCGGTATGCGTTCTGCACTGGCCTGCAATTTATTTAATTTTTCTACTTGATTCCTGTTGACAAAGTTCAACTTTTAAAATTGAAACACTGTTCTTTTTCTTGTGCGTCTCTTTAGGAATCTGAAACATAGCCGGCAATTTACCAAACTGATCTTTTCCACTGGGTTTGTTCTTGCAACACGATGCAGGGATTGTACTGTCTGGTCTCTCTGTTTGGAACCAAAACTGGACAGCCAGTTGAACTCTTTGTCTGATAAGCCAGATTGTTCTGACGTTTTGCTCTTTGAGACTTGTTTTCCATAACCGTGTTTCGATAACCATCATGACTTGACTTACCATGTGGAGGAAGTCTTGAGCTATCTGAGGTCTCCGTTGTCTGCTTTCCTATGTGAGGGCTTAAACTTCGGAGGAATGTCTCCATCCAGCGAGCAGAAACCTTAGATACTGTAATAAAATTTACTTACGCCAGTACAATAGCCATTGCATTTCCTGTTTAAAGACAACAGATCAAACCGGACTGCCCTGTCAGAAGCACACGGGTCAGCTGACTGTTATTTATCAAGGTTCTATTTCAATTGTGTTTCACTCGTCTCATCAAAATTGTTTTTGGTTTCAAATATGCCTTTAACAAAGCACTAGTCAGGATATGAAAATCATTATAGAGCTTAACACCTCGTGGGCACTTGACTGTCTTTTTCCAACCCTTGAAAGCCTTTCTTCAGCTTGGCTTCTTAAAAAAACAGCATCTTTAAAAAACAGTTTACATGGCCTTACCAAACTGAGTATTGTGTGCTGTGGCATGCTATTTCAACCTTGTACTTTTCTGAATGCAGTAAAGGACAGGCTGCTATCAGCGGGCTAACATGTGTCACTGTTGTGGATGTGCACCATCATGTATGAAGCTCAGTGCTGTACTATTGGGGAATGTTTTTTATTAAGAAGAGATTCGGGTGAAATATACTGTCAGCAGAATATAGCTGCTGTTTGCCTGTTTTATTAGAGCCTGTTTTAGGAGGCTCTTAAATTCAATCCTTTTTTTCCCCCATTTTCTGTATCCGTAACTAGTCTAGCAACAGAAAAAGCCTCTTGCTCCCTGTCTCCGGTCCGTTCTGGAAGCCGGGACGTAACTGTCCACTGGCGTTGAAGACCCATTTCTGCAGATCTGGGCAGATCCTGACTGAGCTGGGCTGCCGACATGACATGTTGTCTTTCGCAGCTTGTGGGCTAGTGCTTTGCGGAATCTTCCTGCTCCCTCGTTTCTGTGGATTCAGCTGCTTTTGATGTCTCGGGTTGCGCAGGTGAACCTGAAATCCCCGCGTTAGGTACCTGGTCTTGAAACTGTTAGAAGACTTACAATACGCAAGTATAGCATGGAACTGTAAGTGTGTTTCCAGTGGGCATAGCTGTCTACACCATGGTTGATTAAAGCTCATTTGTGCAAGAGCGCTGAGTTATTACCAACCAATGCCTTTTGATTCGTTGATTGTTCTGCAATGCTTTTCTGGATTTTTTTTTTTGCTTTGCACTGAGATGCAACTTGGCCTTTCAAATACCATGCAACTGGGAAAACAGGTGTGCACACAACGCCGACAACTTGCTGTTGTCATGCAGTATCGTACTGTCTGACGTGTCATCTCATTGGAAAGGAACAGTTGTCCTCCAGATGTTGTATGTGGCTCTTGCGTCGAGTCGGTTGTGTGGGGGGCTTGTGTTGCTGTGGGAATCGGGATTAGAATGGGTCTTTTTTTCCGTATGTTTTCTATTATGAAGTGGGACGTAGGAGTGATGCTTTTTGATTCCCTTTGTTGGTTTCAGTTTAGACCTTGTTGGAGACCGGGGTTATCTCACCACTCATGTACACCACACACAGTCTTGTCTGCGTTCTCCAGCTCTGTCCTGGCATGTTTCAGGATGCCAAAATAATTACCCGTCACAAGTATATGCTGGCAGACTTCTTTCTGTTGATTGTTTTTGGTGCTTTACCACCCTTGCTGTATTCTCTGGGGACATACAACTGTGCTGGATGGAAATTATTGTCATCAATGTAATGAGCTTTTGGTAATTCTCTTTGGTAGCACATTCACTCTGCGTTCCTGCTCAACAGGCTGTGTGCTGTGTAGCTCCTCCATGCCAAACTATTTCAGTTCAAAGCACACCTTATCCCTCTCACCTGTTATATACCTGGTTGTGGACTTGGTGTACTTTGTATTAGTGTGATCATATGTTAAAACCTAATCTGTAGTGTGCTGAAAGCGAATGTCATTATTTTAGCTAAGCCATGATATTTTAACTAAGGAAACTTTTTTAAATAAATTAACGTTTACAGATGCTGAGCGTGTTAAGTGGAATATGTTGTTTTTATTGCAACAGAGAAAATTGGTTTAATGAGTTAATTAGTTAATTAATGCTAATTAGGCCCAGAAAATGCAACATTGCTTGATTTGAAGTATTCGTTCATAACCCAAAGTATTCAGCAGAGGGGGTCAGTCTGAAAATGTGCAAAATTTCTCCGTAAGATTTGTGTTTTGAGTGACTAATGACAGGGTTACGTCTCTGTAGATGCAGGCCAATGACTCATATAATTCTGTTAGAAAAGAACATTGAGCTCTTCTGAATTGCTGTAAAAGTCTTTTAAGCTGAGTCCTTTTATTTTATCTGGGTTGTTATAGTTGTGTATGGTGCACTTGTCCAGTATAATTGTTGCTGTCAACAACAATCTATCAGTCTGACATACAGCTGCTCTGATATCTGGACAGTAGTGCTGTTACTTTGCAACAATCTTCTGTCCTTAAAAACTGTGGCACATAAACTACAAGACACACACGTAAATATCTTACTAGTGTAATTGTCACATTGCAAAAAAAAAATCGCACTCTGATTTGCTACACAGTCTGAAATGTGCAGACTTGGTGTGTTTGGATGTTTCCTTTTTGTGTCAGCTGCTGTATTACAGACATCCAGACACTTGACTCAGGGGGGCTGAGGAACGAGAGGTGTCCTCATAGACATTCACAGTTGCGGGGTTCCCACCCAGTCCAAATCAAGAGAGGCAGTGTAGGAATGAGGGGGTGTGCTTGACCCATCGTTCTCATCTAATTGCGAGCAAACAAACTGACCCCAAAATCTCACCCAGATACATTTTTAGTGGGTCTTTGAGATTCAACTGCAACATCTTATTTGGGCAGTTTGTTTCGGACGTTTCCGAAAAGAAAGCGCCTCCTATCTTCCGCCCTGGGCGCCTGCAGTCTCTCTGTCCGCCGGTAGATGTCCTGGGAGCGACAGGCGGTGATGTGATGAGCCGGACAGCTTCAGTACAGTGAGGACCGGAGCCTCCTAATCCCGGATGAGACCTGCACGTCTACCCGGTGAGCTGAGTTCCGGTCGCCTTCTGCTCCTTACTTCAGAGCTACTCAACCTGCAGCCCTTCCAGGCGACTCCAGTACAGACGTTTGTTCCAATCAGCTACTTAATTCTTTAATTGAACATTACGGGATCAATATAGCTCTCAAAGATCGAAGTACTGCAATTGGAAAAATAGCATCTTACTCTCTAGTGACTCTTATGATTGCAAGTAATTATTTTTCAGTTTAGGTACATTAGTACAAAAACTATAAACTGGTACAGTGGCAAAATTCGCAAGAACTGCTTTTTACGCATTCTCGTCTGCTCAATTGCGGCTAAGAAACTTAATTTGATGCGTTTTTCCTGAATGGTTCCGCCGCCCGTGGTCACCAGGAGCAACAACTATGGCATGCTAAAGCCAGCCCCCACCAGATTACCAATGATGCATGCGTCGCCCGAGGCTATTTTCAGCAGCGTGTAGGCTGGACTCCGGATGCCCGATAAGGACTCGAGTTCCTTATTTGGTCGCCCGGGGACAGAGCAGCAGGCAGCCCTGCGGGTCGTGTTGCTCCGACCCTGGAGTTGTCACCGAGCCGAGTTCCGCCATGTGGCGGAGCGGGTGGGCGTTGCCAGCGCTGTCCGCTCACACAGCCGTGGCAGCGGCGTGTCCAGGGTGTGAATGGCGGGCGCCTCCGCTTGCCGGTACCAGCCCTTGGATCCGTCCGAGACTGTCGAGCCGCTTTTCAAGTCATCGTTAAAGACACGCTGCACCTGAAGTGATGTGACTACGTTTATGAAACACCATGCCGTTTTAAAACCAATTCCGATTGGAATCTTGAAAAACATTACAGCTGTTAAGGGAAATGTGGTGCTTTTAAATGTCAGTTTTGTAAATGCGCAGTTAGTGATTTTTGCCGTTAACATTGCGATCTAAATGTAGACTGTTGCGTTTTACGGCCGTATTAACGCCTTCCACCTGCTGATATTTCTTGGCTGCAAGAACCCTCAAATGCAGCGATGATTTAAACGTTTTTTTTTTTTGCATGTAGCCCGTAAATACATTACTTTTGTGTAGTCTTGTTTTGACACATCATTATAGACCTTCCGCAACACGCATGAATGTTGTTTCAGGGGCATTTGAACATTTGCTTTGGCGCTTAAAAAAAAAAAAGAAAATGACCAAGTAGAAAAGGCGGCCAACAATCTTTTAATAAAAACATCAATTTCGACTTCTATTCCCAACGGTTTAATCCCAGAAATTCAGGACGCTCCCACATATGGGCAACAGGGGGCGCCTCTCCAGGACATTACCTGCCATCGCAGCTGGTCCAGTCCGTCTGGAGCTGCGCTCAGGACTTCAGCTCCAAGTGCTGCTCCCCTCCCAACAGCTGAAGCCGTTTTCTTTTCTATGCACTCAACCCAAATTCCCCGAGCCTCTCAATTATAGAAATTAGTCAGGTCCCTCGCTATCCCCCGAGCCTTTGACAGTAAATCAGATCTGTTATTCACAAGGGCCTTGCGAGAAGACGTTCAGGGGCGCCGAAGTGTTACACCTCCCCAAAGCGTGTCCCACCATCCCCTCCCTCCCGCAGAGAAAGCGTTCAGAAGCCAGTGTTGATATCAGAAAAGTCCTTTTTATTGGCATCTTACAATATAAAGTCGTTTTGTTTTTACAATAACTGCTTTGTGAGCGTATTTTACAAAATGGGAGTTAAAAGGTAAACGGTAACTTGGGATCGGAACTGTAAAAAACGAAAAGTTCAGACTCGCAGTTCAACAACGCGAAGCGCTGCTCTCATCCGAGATGAGGACATTTCCAAACAAAACTTGCAGCACGGAAAGCTATAAAACACCCCTCCCCAGTCTTAATCGCAGCTCCAGATTCGTGTCGCCAACAGAGGACGCCAGCAAGCTGTTAAAAGTACTTTCTTTAAGGAACAGTGAAGAACAGCACAATCAAGCGAGGAGTCACAGCAACACTGTTAACGCTCCGGACGCCACTAACACCATCAATGTCTCTATAGCGCAACACGAAGAATACTCTAGAAAAGGGGTCGGATAAAGTCCGCAGAAAACGATATATTTACTATATATAAAAAGATTTTGTTAAAAATCGAGTCTATTTACAGGCAGCTGCTGTGTTTAGCGAGTCTTTTTACTTCTTCCTCGCAGCTTTCTTGGGGGCCGACTTAGCCTTAGGTTTCGCCGTCTTCATTTTCTTGGGTCTGCTGGCTTTGGCCGGTTTGGAAACTTTCGGTTTCTTCGCCTTCTCCTGCTTCTTGGGTTTGGGAGCCGGCTTCTTCTTTTCCGGCGCCTTCTTGGCTTTCTTCTCCACCGCCTTGGGCTTCTTGGCCTTGACCGGCGACTTGGTCACTTTCTTGGGCTTGGCCACCTTCTTGGGCTTGGCCGCCTTGGTCGCCTTCTTCTTGGGCTTCTCGGCGGGCTTGGGCGCCTTCTTGGACTCGTCCGCCTTGGCCAGCTTGAAGGAGCCCGACGCCCCGACTCCCTTGGTGTGTCTCAGGACGCCGGTGGCCACCAGTCTCTTGAGGGACAGCTTGATCTGGGAGTCCGCGTTGTCCCCGACCTTGTAGTGGCTCTTGATGTACTTCTGGATGGACTGCCTGGAAGCGCCGCCGCGGCTCTTCTCGGCGTGGACCGCCGCCTCGATCATGTCCGAGTACTTGGGGTGCGTGGACGCCTTCTTGGGCCCCTTCGCCTTCTTCGCCTTCTGCGCTGGCGCCGCTGCAGCTGTCTCTGCCATGACCGGAGTCTTTCAGATCACTCTCCAGAGACGACTCAAAAAAAAAAAAAAGTCTTCAAGGGAGGTGTTTTTTTTTTTTCTTCCTCCACTCCCAAGAGCGACGGTTTGGGCCAGGCGTTTGACACAAAAAAAAAACACCCCACAACGGGACTTGTCACGAACTGTCCCCTCTTTTTCTTATGAGATGGGGAAAGTGTCCTTTTTTCGGAGCGCGGAGCAGTGCGTCTCGTCTGGCCGGGCAAGTTCCGCCGCTTTTTCTCCCCCCCTGGGCGCGTCGAATTGTACTAATTTCGCGTAGCAAGACGATTCAGGTGGTTTCTGTTTCCGGAGGAGTTGTTGTAGTAGTGGCTGGAATGGGACACCAAGCGTCTCCCAGTCTATAGCGTGCGGATGTGTCTCATTCTCCCAGCTGCTCCTGTGACTTTATCAAGCCTCCAAGCGGACGTGATTGAGAACACCAACTGCCAGCAGCTGATCTAGCAGGCTCTGTGAAACTCTCACACTCCGGTTTGTGTTTCTTTCCCCTCGAACTCTTGGGAATTTTCCAAAGTCCGGACGCGCAGGGGTCCGGACGCCCGCCCACCCCGAAAGTGGACACCCTGGGCTTCACGGCCATACCGGGGTCGAGGCACAAGTCCGCGACGGATCAACTTTTATTCCCTGAAAACCATCTCGAAGCGTGGCGCGCCGAGCACTATTTTGCAGAATTCCTGCAAATTCGACCCGAATAGACGGAACCGAGCACGCAAAACCCCGAAGCACTGGCAAATTGAATCATTGCTCTATTGATTAAAACTGGGTTAACGGGGGAAAGACGTTGTTATCGTTTTTAATGCACCGATATAGTTTCCTAACTAACACAGCCCCGCCATTGACTTTGAGTGACGTGGTTGAGATTATTTATTGTTAAACCTGCTATAAATTAAAACACAAAGAAATAAAAGTCGATACGAAAACACACGTTATATCGGTACATCTTCGACCGTTTTAGTAGTTTGTCGCCTGTGCTGTTCTAGTTACTTAAAGGCTAAACTTGTAATTTGTACAGGCAGCGGCTATGCACCGGTCTGTGCTTCATCGTTGTTAGGAAAGTTGCCAACAGCTCTTAAAATCTGATTTTGTGATTAACTCAACACATTTAGGGTTGAATGTTATTCTCCTAAAAACCTGTCTCTCTTTGATTTACGGACTTGTTGTTCGTTGCAGTTTTTATTTTTGTGTACAGGTCACTTAACAAGCGCTTACTGAAAGATAGCAGGTCTTGCATTCTTTTGTTCACTAACTTGTGGACAGAGGAGCGACTGTAAATTTAATTCCAAGGCTGCACGGTCCACCTGAGCCTCCCCCCCTTGTCTTCGGGGTTAGCTGATAGCGTGATCGAATCGTATTTTAGTTTTTGCAACAGCGTGTAACATCAAAGTTTGTTTTTAATTCAAATGTAAAGAGCTGATACAGTTTTCTCAGTAAACGCCATCTTGGATCCCCTCATCCTGATAGTATCATTTTTGATTTTTCACTTTATTTTCATATTTCTTTCCCCTCTGCCCGTGTCCTTTTTATCTGATGCATACTGATACGCGTTTCTTTGGAGGGGTGGGGTGTTGGCGCTGTTTTGGCATCACCGGAGTTGGAACTTTATGAGGTATTTAAACCGTCATTGACTTTGCGCCTCCTGTAGCCGTGCATACAGGTTTATGGCACAGTCATATCGTCTTATTTTGTTCTGGAAAATCCACACGTTTCAAAATTTGTTTTCAAGAGCGACAGTATTCAATATATAATAATAATAATAACAACAACAACAACATAATTTTGTATATGAGCGCTAGATGACCCTTTTAACGAATGTTGAATTTAGCATCAACTGATAAACGCATAACAGTTCACATTTCTTAATATATTGTCCGAAATGTTTCGATGTGAGTGTTTAGTTGCCGTGCTTTGACACACTTTTCCCCACTTACGACTCCTAGCTAAGACAATAATAACTTTTTGAAACATCATGGTTTTTTTTTTTAATAATCTGGTTTTGTCCTCTACTGTTTCAGATGTTAAATTCAAAAGCTTAGACGTCCATTAACAGGAGGAAAGCGTCAGTGCCCGCGATCCGACAGACGGCGGTCCACTCTTGCGGAGAGCGGACAGTCAGCTCTGGCTTGGTGCTGAAAACAGCACCTCGCTCACCCCCTCCGCACCCGCACAGACACCCCTACCTCCGCCCGCCGACAGGGGGACTGCGACGACAGATGCCCCGACCTGGCACAAAGCACAGCCCGTCCTCTATTCCAGCACTGTATTTATAAATGGCGACCTTTTTGTTGTTTTGGTGAAGAATTGAAGTAATAAATATATATAGAGTGTCTATTTTAGATAAGAAGGCGCTCGCCACTAACACAGAAATACACGTCAGCTAGCACCCAGAAATGTTATATGATTTAAAAATGTACACGATGAGGTTCGCTTCCTTTGATAGAGCTTCATGTCGAAGTCAGTGTTTAGGAATGATTATTCTGGTGCAGTGTGGTGTTTCTTTTTAGGGTCACGTCCTGTTCTTTATGAAATTTGGCATTGCAGGCAGGGCAAAGACCCGATTTTACGGACGTCCTTTTAGAAATAACATGAATTTACAATATTAAAATAAAAATAGCTACGAGTCATACGTGCCTGTACTTGAGCATTGTGAAGTATCCTCTACCCATAGTTGTGTTGGAGTATTGTCATGCTGTTTGTTTCTATTCAAAATGTCGACGATATCGCTTTTAATATATTTTTTTCTTAAGTAATACGAATGATTAAATATGGGAGACCCTCACAAAGGTTTGAAAAAATTCACATGCTTACGTCTCAATACTCCTCATGCTAAATGTTTGCGTTCTGGTCAATGTGTTCAATAAGAGTGGAGTCAGACAATGGAATTGGAATGTGATTAATTGTTAGTTACACAGTGCCGACCTGGCTACAAGTTTACTGTTGGTGTTCCTCTTAATTAACTAGCTTTCTACACTGGGGAAAAGAAATTCTTTTTGTGGGGGGTAGGCAGAAATGCTGTTGAAGCCATCGTCATCCTTTCTGTGAAAGAAGTCTTCTGCTTCTACTTGCAGGAGATAGGCCTGCTGTTTCTTTCAGGGTTTTGGTATTGCCCAGTTTTTCCTTTCTGTCTCTGTTGAGCTCTTTCAGAGGAAACCTTCATCCCAACCAGTCTTTACCAGTATCTCTGCAAGGAATATGCAGAATCTACAATTTCGACATCGGCTGACAGCTCGTTCCTACACTGGTGTGGAGCACACAGATATGAGCGACAGTATTCTCTTATTTTAGTCTAGCAGGTTTCAGACAGGTCCTGAATGCATCAGGACCTGTCTGAAACCTGTCTGAATGCAGGTCCTGATGCTGGTGCTTTTCGAAGAGGGCAGCTGTGATGTTTCTGTTGTCATACAGAGCTCACAGCACAGGTTCAAGAAGAGGTGTATCAGCGTGTCACTGCATTTACTCATTTGGAGTAGGAAGAAGGAGATAAGAGTGAATGTATGGGAATTCTGAGTGCGTGCTCAATGTGTGATCACATTTTAAAAAAAATCAATTCCCCATAATATAGGGAAAGAAAACATTGAGCTGCTTTTTACAGAGTAGCAGTAAATGCATAGACAAGCAGTTTTTAATCAGTGTGTGTTAAGAAAGAGTAACTTGCATAATAAACTTGAGGACACATGCAGAAGTACTGTTTCGGTTGTCCTTGTGAAAGGAAGCAGCTTCTTTTGCAGGACAGGGATTTTCTGAAGATTGTTGGCTGTCTTTGTAGGAAAGAGTAGCCACATTAGACAATACCGACAGCTCTTGAAGTGCCCGAAATCATTCATGATAATTGCTTACACTTACTGTATATAGCGCTTTTCTGGACACTCCACTCAAAGCTCTGAACAGGTAATGGGGACTCCCCTCCACCACCACCAGTGTGCAGCCCCACCTGGATGATGTGAAGGCAGCCATAGTGCGCCAGAACACTCCCCACACACCAGCTCTCAGTGGGGAGGAGAACAGAGTGATGAAGGTAATTCATAGATGGGGATTATTAGGAGGCTATGATTGGTAAAGACTAATGGGAAATGTGGCCAGGACATCAGGGTTACACCCCTACTTTTTTTGAGAAACGCCCTGGGATTTTTAATGACCACAGGGAATCAGGACCTCGGTTTTATGTCTCTTCTGAAGGATGGTACCTTTTTACAGTATAGTGTCCCCGTCACTATACTGGGGTATTAGGACCCACATGAGCCGCAGGGTGAGCACCCCCTGCTGGCCCCACTAACACCTCTTCCAGCAGCAACCTTAGTTTTTCCCAGGAGGTCTCCCATCCAGGTACTGGCTGGGCTCAGACCTGCTGAGCTTCAGTGGGGCTGAAAGTTGTGAGTTGCAGGGTGATATGGCTGCTGGTTACAAAATATGGGTTCCTCATGCACCCATGCTTTTCTTACGAGATGACTGCTTAATTACGTCCAGATCTTTTATACCCGCACAAGAAAGTGGCAGCGTGGCACGGTGATGCAGTGTTTAGCATTGCTGCCTCGCAGAACCGGGGCCCTGGGTTCGATTCCGGACCTGGGGTGCTGTCTGTGTGGAGTTTGTATGTTCTCCCCATGTTCACAAGGGTTTCCTCTGAGTGCTCCGATTTCATTCCCTAATCCAAAGACATACTGGCACGTTCATGGACTTCTGGGGCCATTGGCCCTGGTGTGTCTGTGTGTGCCCTGTGAAGGGCTGTCCAGGGTGTACCCTTCCTTGCACCTACTGGGTGTTGGGATAGACTCTGACATCCTCGTGACCATGTATTGGATCATGCGTTTAGAAAATGGTTGGATGCATGAACATGGTATTGACTGCTGGCATTTGGCCCTTTCCTATGCTAACCCTCGCTCTGTGAAGGACGGGTCTGGATCTGGGGGCAAGTTAGTGCTGGGTTTTATCCCAGAAACCGCAGACGTACAGATGAGCATTACGATCCCGTCCGAGACATTGTAGAGTAATGTCGAGGCTATTTTCAGTACATCTTGGACTCAATTTAAGTTTCCGATTGCAAAAGCATTCAGATGCGGGCCGGGGTTCCCGTTGAATTGACGTTTTCATTAGGATTACAGTTCATTGCCACCGTGCCTATCAAGAGTCAGCGCTGCAGATTTGTGCTACTCTGCAGAGGTGGGTCCGTGGGGTAGACGTGAGGATCCTGCTGTTGTTCATCTTAGGGACGAAGTCTAATTGGGGCAGGAGAAGGGGCAGGTTAAGAGTGCTCATTAGCATTCGGCAAGCGTTCAAGCTGGTGTTTAAAGTGCGGGTGCATGTGCCTTTTTTTTTTTTACCCTAAACCAAGCCGTGCAGTTGGAAAGTAAGGACTAAACTGTTCAGTTCAGTTCAAATGCA